TGACCAGAGTCACGGAATGAATTAAGTTCGTAATCCGAGGTACCACTGTATTAATTCATTTTTTTAAGCAGTAACATTTATTTTCAGGGAACATGAATTTTCAGATTCTCTTCTGATGCTGGAAAATATTAACAGGTTGTAAGTTCCTTAAAAATATTAATAATATCTGCATAGTTTTCCAGTAATTTATATCTGTATGTCAAATTGTGATAATTGATTTCACACCCAGATTATAAAATGTATTAAATAATTATACAATAAGAATACAATATCGCAGAAAGGAAGGAGGTCAATCCCATATTCTTGTTTACAAAGCATTCCTTTAATGCCGATATCTTTGCTGAAGAATTATTTTATTTTTAGAACAGCTAGAGACAGTTGAATGGAGAAAACAGGATACTCATCCCAGCGATGTACTCTAGCTGAAGGCAAACAAACACCAAAAATGCAGTGCCTTTTCCACTTACGGCAAAATGGATTGTGCCTTAAAGTACAATTATGTTCCTAAACAGGCTAATGCAGAACTACAACTCAGTGGAAAAGGTTTTTTCCTTTTGTGATTTAAGACAATCAAGAGCATATTCTCCCTTTATCTTTCTAATTAAGAAGTTCAAAATGTACAAGTAACAGTAATGTACAACTGTTTATTTATTAATAGCTCTTAAAAATATATAAAGGCAACAAAGGGACTGCAAATGATATCCAACAGAAATAAGATATTGGATTGGATCTTTTCCATGAACAGAAATGCTTTTGCTGTCTCTCTTTGACAGAAGAGATCCCAATTCAGTGAAGGCTCCCACTAAGGGGGATGCAGTGATTATTTGCTGATTCACTTTTCCCCGTGCAATTTCTAGTACCACCGTATATGCTGTTCAGGAGAGTACAATCTCCCAATCTTCCTGCCCTTCTTCTTTCACCAGAATATCTTGGGAGCAGAATTCCATGCACAGGAAATCTGGATTCAACTCACTGAATATTTGCATTCGGAGTGTAAGCATATATTATTATTTTATCTCATGACTGAAGGTAGAACCAGAAATTATTACAAAGTGTGCTATCACAAGGACAGAGAAACTGCAGGGGGAGAAACTGAACTTCCAGTGAAAGTATCTCATTTCATCAACACTGCAAATTCAGACAAAGCTAGACAGAGCCTTAATTTAATGTATACATTAGGCTAATTAACCCTCTTATCCTGGGGTTGGATGATATTTTTAGGCTCCTCTTTGATCTTCTGTAAACATGAAATAATAGGTATTATTTACAAACAGTAATATGATTTTACTATAATAAATCCTAATGGGTTATGAATATAACCCACTTTTTAAAGAACATACCTAGATAGGCGTCTCCCTGGATTCGCAGATATTTTCTTCTGAGAAGACGTTCATAAAGGACCTGCATGCTGGACTTGGCTAGTTATAGGGATTGTACACACGACTAGTTACTACACTCTTTCATTCGTGTTTACTATTACTATTATTATTAGCTTTAAAGTTAGTAAGAAAGCTTATAATTTGCCTACTAATTAGTGAAATTAGATAAGAAAATTAAAGAATAGAATTTAGTAGCTTTCTAGATCTGGAGTTGATGATGTACATTATGGCTGCTTTTGGCTTATCATTTGTTTGGGGTTTAATCTGTTAATGCAAGATTGTTTAAATGCTAACGATTTCTGTTATTTAAATATAGCAGGATGGAACATGATTTGTACAAAACTGTTCTCTCTTTTTGTAAAACCAAAAAAAAGCCAATTATGAAAATAAAAATGTACATCAGAAAAATAAGAAAACAGAAGACAAAAAGAAAGTACACAGTGCAAGGCAATTTAAAAGAAACAAACAGAAATGCTTCTAAACAAGATTTCAGACTTTTTGCTAGAATCCCATTTGAATCAAAATTCTAGGTAGTGTACAACAAATACCCCATTATATTATGATAATAATTCACATTGCAGGTAAGTAAGCCAATACTTCATCCAAACTTACATACATGCAACTCTGATTTGCACTCAATACTTTCAGTAATAGGTTTTATAAGCTCATATTAGTAATACTAGCACACATCACCAACCCAGTAAAAGTCCTATGCATAATAAGTTTTTTTTCCATATACACAGGCCAAATTAAAATACTGAATAAATGAACCTAGAAATCTAAATAGAATATTAACTACAGAAAATGTAAGCAATAAAAACATATGTATTAAAATCTTTCTTTTCAATTTTAAACTTGTTTAAAAAAAAAAATTGGCTAACTCATGGGTTTAATTCAATTCCTGCAAAGATTAGAGTAGGTTCATTTAAATGATTCTTTGTGGGGTAATCCTTATTATTGAAACACAACTTTTAATCTTAAGGAAGATATTCAGATATTTTTCCTTAAATAATTCATAAAGCTAGATAGATGTATTTACAACTATGTGACTGAAATACAGGAGCTTACAAATTGTTACTGTGCAAAATGCATAGAAACAATTTATTACAGAACACAAAGATTATGTTAATAACAATACCAAATGTTGCATCCCAATTCATGTATCAATTCTGGGGTACATTTTGCTATTCTAATGAAATTTTAGATTAGGACAACAACCTACAGTTTAGGAACATGCAGGTATTTGGCTCTTAAGTGGAAAAAGTGCTTAAGAGGAGATATGGGCATGCTAGCTGTATCTGTTGACACCTCCTTAAAGAAGCCATGCCTTTTCCTGGGTGCACAGGAAGGAGTTAAGGAGATGGCCACAAGGCATGAAGATGTTGTTGAACTTTGTTGATCCCTCAACTAAAACACACATTTTTGTGGGATCAGGTAGCTGCAGTACAAATCCAGGAAAAGGTGTGGCTTTTTAAAGAAGGTATTGACAGATATAATACAGATAGTATAGTACTGTACTATATAGTACAGATATAGTGCTCTGAAATATTTTTTCCACTTCAGATCCAAATATCTGCAAATAATTGCTAGAGTCCTAATGTGATTTTAGCTGTATCTATGTGCTGTTGCATGTAAAACTAGGTTTATGGAGAATCCTAGTTTGCCATGATCAGCCTGTACCCTTATGCATAAACCAGTTTGTGTATGGAGCTAGTTTGTACATGGTGCAGTCCTTCCAGGATCATGATCAGATACATTAACCACGAATAGAAAGTTTACTATTTAATCTATGCCTGGGTCCTTGGCTTGCTGTATCATTTTACAAGTGAAAATGGCAAAACAAGACTTTTCTTAGCTTAAACATCACACCCTGTTTAATTACTATATGCAGCCACACTAGTATAGTCCACATATAACTTTAATCTCATTTCTGAAGTACCTTAAAGTCATAGCACTGAAATTTAGAAGCATGGTTAGAACTCACTGGGGGTATGGCTTCTAAATGCTCTGGCTTCTAAAATATTGAATAAATAAATCTAAAAATCTAAATAAAATATTAAATACAGAAAATGTCAGCAATAAAAGCATAGCGTATTAAAAACTCTTTCCAATTTTAAAGTTCACTTTTTCAAGACAGTAATTGGTTAACTTGTAGCTGTAGGAAATATAGTGTGACTCCAGCCACAGGATTACCTGGGTTAGCAAAAGGAGGCAAGCATGAACCAGCATGCAGCTCATTCGTGGTAAACTAGGATTCTCCAGAAATGTTGCATAATATTGAATGTGAACACAACTACTAACTTTCTAATTCTGTCAAGTACATTAAATCTTTAATGACCGAGTTCCAAAAAGCAGTTTACACACATATAAAACTGCAAATACAACTGGGGCTTTCTTTGTTAATCATTGCATCAATGAAGACTGCCTTGCCTCATTTACTATTATAACTGCTACTAAATAGAGTAAGTACACAATGGTTATTAAGCTAGGAATCACCTATATGCTGATGTTCCTTCTGCATCTCTTTTTTAACAGTTGGTTTAAGTGAACTTATTTTAGTTTTTGGTTTCCCATCAAACTGACTCTTTGATTGCATGAGAGATGGGGTGAAGAAGAAATGTACAGGTACTTGTCTTAATAGTGCATATGTATTTATCTCCATGATTCTAAATCCTAGGCTTATCCTGTATTATTAAAAGAAAAGTGATGAATATAATTAAAGCTTCTAATATCCCTTTATTTTAGAAATGCTACTTAAGTTTTATTATATCAGTATATCAATGTTGTATAATACTTTATCACCACTGTATATAAATATACAGTGTTAGGTTATACTAAATCACCATATCATATGACATGGTCTCACAAAGAATTGTAAGCCCTTCAGATGGAACCAGAGTTTCCTAAGTGTATATCATATTATGTAAGAAATTTTAGTTTTGATTATTATTGCTATTAATGCAAATACATTTTAAATAAAATGTTTTGCAGTAATTGTGGCTTTATTTTGAGGTGTTAGATCAAGAACAGGGCTCTAATATTGTGTAATATATATTTTTCACCAAATAAACCTGTGGGCACCCTTGGAATTTCTTTCTGGTATACTGAATTGCAAATCTAGTTTTTGGTATTTCCAATCAACTCGGAATTTTAAAAAGAGCTGAACTATTTGGCATAGAAGCCTCTGGTGATGCTAGAGTTGGTGAGTAAAAGCAAATAAGGAAAATATGGACTACATAATATAGATACTATTCTGACCTAGTTGTCAAACTAGAAAGAGTACCTTGGATCTTAGTTCTGGGGCAAAACTCTTCACAACCATTTTCAAAAAGTAATTGATAATTTGCTATCCAAAGGAAACAAATAAAAGCTTAAAATTGGCTTTAAATGTTTATAGATGTACAGTTTACATCTATAAACTGTAACTATAAATTAGGGCTGTATACTGTTCAATATTCAAAAGAGAACAGGTGAAGTATGCCCTGATCACATTTTGTTGAATTAAATGTTCCTTTTTTGGGGGGACTGCAGAGCAGCGTGAGCCCAGGAAAAGATTCAGCTTCTTTAAGGAGCTGTTGACAACTGTGACAGAGATGTCCATGCATATTCCAAATCTTTTCCCTTCTGAATTCAGGCCACTGCATAGCCCTGCTCTAGATCAATGAGTAGATTTATATCTCAATCCATAGTTTTTAGCTTTAATGAGACAAAATTCTACACATTCTTTAATTCATACATGAACTTAATGTATACATTATATATAATTCATATATAAATTATCGTAATCCTTCCCACAATAAATAAATGTGTCTGCCTAGTGTGGGCAAATAAAGGCCTGTGAATACAGAATAGCTATCTTAAAAGCATTTTTGTCTTGCAAGTGTTAAGCGTCTAGAAGCATAGTGTATTGCTTATTAATATATAATTATAATATATTAATATAATTATAAGCCATATTTAGTATAACGTGGGTGCTTTGACACATTATATGAGAATAAAGGGTAAATTTTATATTTAAAAAAAATCCTCAAGTCAAGATATACAATTAAAAAATAGGCTGCATAATTAACTCTATGGGCAGCATTTTATATTGTATTATCTATATCCTTATTAAGGTGTATCTTAGCAGTAAGGTGGTATACAGGCTTTGCCATAGAAGGAAAAAGCATTTGACATACCTGCATCTAATTTTTGACAGGAAGGCAATTCATTTGATAAATTGGTGAAATAGCTGTGTAATCCTTTGAAAGCGAGCAGCAAACCGGCACAAAGTGTATGGTGAAGACTGTAAGCATGATTCAAGAAAGGTTCTGCTATTACAAAACTGCAGCCCTAAAAATGGATTTATATAATTTTTAAGTCATAAGGAAACATCAACATGTTATTTCAAGTTTAAAGACAAAGCTCAAGATATTACCCAAGGCATTCTTTCTACACATGCTTCTGCACCCCAGTCACCTACTCATCTCCCCCGCCCCAAGTTGGGGGCATTCCAGAATAGTAATTAACAGGCAGTGTGGAAAGCAGGCGGCAGGCAGGCAGGCAGGCAGGCAGGCAGGCAGGCTTCCCATGAACTTTGAGGGCTTCCTGGTTCTGGAAGGCTGCAGTCTTATTTTGTAACACTTTCTCAGTATTACAATTCATTGAATTTCTTTGTTAAAAAGTCTACTTTTTAGGATTTATTTCTCAGTCAAATTTTAACATGAACAGCAGCAGTATTTATCTATTACATAGCATCATGACCAGTATTTCTAGTAAGTAATGTTTTAATATACCAGATATTTGACAGCATTTATTCCATGTAATTTCAATGAATTGAAAAGGTTTTGCTTTTTAAAAATTGTTCTGTGAAATGTTTGTACTTTTCAGCCTATTAAGAAGACAAAATAATTCCGATCTTACATCAGATGATAACTGCTTGGTGTAATTGTTGCCAAAGACAACACTTTCGAGAGAAGGAATCACAGAATCCCTGTTCTGTGCTGGTGCATTTCTGTTTAACCAAGTATTCTTTATAGGGCGAGGAAAGCTAAAAACAAATGAGGGCAGAATTAAACATCAAAACAGGTACAAGAGCTAAATTACAAAGATTGCAAGAAAAAGCAATAGTAGAGAATTAAAGCTTGGTACAAACTACTACTTCAGTATCTGCTACAACTAGCATATAAAGAAGGCCACTATACTGCCCAGAGTACGACGATGCATAAAACTAAATATGATTATTTAAATTATTGTAAATAATATTTTAGATGGTTGTAGATGAATGAATTGCTAACAGTAGCTTAAATTGGAACAATCTTGGAATTAATGTTTGGGGCAACTTTTAAAAGTACTTTTGAAAGTTCTCATTCAACTGAGAAATGGGAATAGGCCTAACTAAGGAAGGGAGGTAATATATAGAAGTTATTGTAATTAAATTTATTTTACCTGAATTTTACTGATTCAACACAACCTGTTATTTCCTTTTAACAAATTCTGTTATTTCTTTTTAACAAATGAATTACTTTTGGAAAAGCATTCAACTAAATAATCACATTATAAGCTTCCAACCAGAATATATAAAAAGTAACTACATTTGAATATCACCATGTAAAGAAAAGAAATTGCAATTTTGCCAAGCTAAAAAGTATACATCACTGTATGCTTGAGAGGAGATACACAGACTAATTCACATATAATGTTTGTAATACTGAAATGGTACAAGGAAAAACAAAACATATTAAAATATTCCAAGATCTAAAAAAGAAAATAAAGTCTTTAATGAACATGTTTTTCATTAAGAGAACAAGTAAATTTGTACTGCTTTCTTTCCAGTTGCTTGTGGGTCCAAAATTAGGTCTCTTTCAATTGTGCTTAGTTAAGTAAAAAGCAAGGGTTTACATAAACTTAACAAATGCAACAACAGGAAGTGCATTGCATGAATAATGAATACTATAGCATTATGATCCAGTGGAATCTCTGTCTGTGCACGCACTCTCTTGTACAGAGGTAACATCTCTGAAGCAGCTAGGTGAATCTCGCAAAGGATGCAACTTCTTTAACTCTTTGAACAGAAGTGCATTGTTCATACTAATGCATTTTGCGAAGCACTTCTTTCAAATGCTTTGCATAGCTCTACTACAAAGTTTAACCTTTTAGTGAATAAAACTGCTAGGATAGCAGTATGAAGGATACCTATGACCATTAGGATCCTACACTGTCAGAAGCATAGCTCATAACTGTTTTGTTGATAGGACAAATCCAAAATCATATAGTTGAATGAAAAGTATAATGATATTGTTCAAGCTGTAGCTACATACATAACCTGCATAATTTTTCTGCACTATCTCCCTTTAACACTGCCAGTCCTACTCTACTAGATTAATTTAGGAATAATCTCGCATTTAGTTGTTTGCAGAGAACTATAACTTCTTCAGATACCTTGTATCTATAACATTTCTACTAGAAGTTGTTAGACAAAAATTAGGTTGCATCAATACACTCAATGGAAGAGAAGTGTACCATATATTTAAACAATGATCAATACAAGTACCATCATTTGTCCCTTTACCACCACTTCAGTGAATAAAACTATTCATCTGAGTTAGACTGATTTTCCAAGAGACAAATAAAAAAGCAGAGAAAGACATTCTTGCCAGAAAGACAGAAAAACTGCAGCAGATGAAAATGCAAAGAACAGCAATCACAATGGACAATGAAAGCCATCAGTAAGAGATACTTTGCCTTTTCTACTTATCATTAATCATAACCAATAGCTAATTCTTCTAACTTCCAATTCTGGATAAAAGGACTCTTGTCCTTCCATTAATCCACCACTAATGAGTAGACCATCCATTTCTCCTACTAATCTGCATCATAAATGGATGCATTCAAGAGGAAGCACAAAAACCATCCTCAGAAAGGGGAAACTAAATAGTTCCTATCTCTGAAAATACATGTGTGTTTACATATATTTTCATCTGTATCTCTTTTATTGCTGACTTTTTATTATGGTCAAAATGTAGCACATAGATTTTACCAGGAAAAATATATTTAAAAAGAAAAAAGGTTAAAAGATTTTTAAAAATCTCTAAATCAAATCTGTCAGAGAATCTCTAATCTTATACAATAATGTATATACTTCCTAACTCATCTGTTTCTCAATTTCCACTGCAACATTTTATTTCCTAACCTCAAATGCCATAAAAGCATGAATACTCAAATATCTACTGCTATGTATACCATGAAGGACAAAGCCACACTAATTTTGGAAAGAACCATTAAATTATGCTATCATAAAAACATGCAGAAATCAGAGCCTTTAAAAACATTTAATAAATCTATCAGCTTACCTCTGTTTTGCTCTTTTGAAAATTTCTGTACTTTTGTAGCTTCCAGCCACTGAATACAATAGATTTAAAGCTTCTGGATTTTAATAGAGATGAAACTACACCTTCTTTTGTCATTCAATTTTGCTCCAATTGTTAATTATAAAAATTAAAAATCTAGACTGCCAGCATTAAACACAGTTTTCTACCCAAAGGAAAGAGATACTACAGAAAAAAAATACTTCAAATAGCATACCTATAATTAATTAAATCTGATTCACAATCTTCATTGCTCAGAGTGAACAGAAATGAAGCAAT